TATAAACACATTCACATTTCAAATTCTCAAACTAAACAGGAACTTTAGAAGAAGCCACTTGTCTATCTCTCTAAATAATTGTGCTACTAAAAATATTTTGTATAAACAAATATATATTAGCACTTTATTAAATAAATATTTATATTCCTTGAAAAATTACTTGAGAATAAACATTTTGTTGCCAAAGACACGAGTTAATTTTCATATGTATATTTTTTAAATTAATTCTTTACATCTTTCAGTTTCTTCTGAAAAGCTAAAAATCCAAAATATATATACTTTTTTTTTTCAAATATTAATTACTTGGATAAAGCAACAAGAAACATTCAAATAACTTAAAGAAGTAAATTTAATTCTGTTACTCACTCCTTCATTCTCTGAGAAGGCAGTTTAATACTTTAAGAAAAAGGCATGCTTAAAAGAAGCAACCAAAACATCAAATGCTCTAAAATGGAGTTAGTTAGAGCAAATCAACCAGACAGAAAATCCAAAATAACTTAATATTTCTCATTAAATGTGAAATTCTACGACAACATTGGATTAAACAATCAATGTATTAACAGCATTAAAACCCTCCCTTTGTTCTCCTGAAGAAGAATAGTCAAGAAAAGTGCTCGAGTTTTGGGTCTTATTTTAAGTCTATTACACTTTATATGTGCTAACTCTTTTATAAAAAAAACATTAAAACCCTTATGTCTGAGTTACAGTTTTTGGACTAACTACACCAGATGAATAGTTGTTTAAATTATTTCTACAAATGTTAAGACTGAAATCCATTATATTTTATAAGAAGGATGTTCCAGGTCCTATGTGGCCCTTGAACTATTTCATTCATCACTAACTGTGCTCACTGTGATTCTCATGATTATATACTATCACCCAACATTACATATTCCAATGTAAAAATATTCAGAGATTGATGACGTGTTCAATGTTAGGTCAGCCATACTGTTAAACTTTCTGCAAACACTCCACTGTACATAGATGTCAGATTTCAAAACCTTTTTGAAGCGAAACAAAGGTAAAAAAAAGCACACTGCAGCTACACCAGGTGACTTGACAAGTATGTGTATGAATAAAATTGTGGTGATTCCTGTTTCTTCAGGCTTTCATACAAACAACAGTTGATTTTGAGATGTGACTGAAAGCTTGTTTATTACCTTGTTACTTGGACCAAAAGACATATCTTGCTTCCTTGTAAAGATGTTTTTCAGTCAGTGGGTTTTCTTTCATAATCATAACCTTCCCTTTGCAGACAAGGACATTTCTACGAATTGGCTTGAGGTGTGGTGTTGGAACCCATTACTGTTTTAAACACTTTTTTTAAGTAAGTTTTCTTCACTTCCATGGAGAACACTGAAGGCTCCCTTTTTGAAATGTTGCATCCTTTGGTTAATGCTGCTTAGCAATCTTCCTATGCAAATATCCTTCTACAGTAAAGGATGCGACTTATTTCTCAGTCCAAATATACATCTGTAGAAATACTACACTGTGGAATGGTCATGTATTTACGAGTCAAAAATATAGGTGCTACAGCTCATGACTACTGCAGCATACAATGGAATTAGATTATACAAACAAGAGAGGATGTTATAAAGTAAAAGAAACATTACTATTTTGAAATACAAACACTATCTAGATACTAGAAACTAATTATTATCTGGACTAAGAATGTCATCTACCATTTAAGAATGTTCAATTTTAAGCTCCATCAACCAGCCACTATTGATTATACCATCATTTACCATTCATTACAGAAAAAAGGATGATCAACTCACATCATTCCTATGAAGGACATTGAAAAAATCAGATCTAGAAACAAATCGCACAGCTGGTGAATTAAGTAACTGAGCTCGCCTGTTGCTAACATTGCTTGATGAAGGCACCGGAGCAGATGATGATGATGATGAACCAGAAGTACCATTATGTACACGGGACGTTATGGTTCTCCTAATGCTTTGATATCTGTGATAAAAATCATTATTATAAATATGATAGCTAACACAACTCAAAAACTCTACTGAAAATTAATTCTAAAATCATATTAATGCAAATCGTGCACTGCATACATCATGAAGTTTTACACAAATTATTTTCCAAAAAGAGAACACATATAATAAAAAAAATAATGAAACTTGTAAAAACATAACATTTCTTGTGGAGTTTCTGCACTTTAAGAGAGACAACAAAAATTTACCACTCCCAGTCCAACATAAATATCCAATAGATTATAGCTAACAAATATTTTAATAGCTTGTATTTATTTTAATGAACTTAAAAATACAAGCATTCTTAATACCCACCTTTAATAATTTTGGTAGATTCTTAGCATAACTTCAATTTACATATGGTTGATGTTGAATAATAACATTTTAATTTTATACTTTTAACCTTTAGATGAATTTCTGTTCAACAGCCATGTCTCTACCATCATTCCACAAATAACAAGATTTTATATTCTGTTAAAATTATCTCAATTTTTTTGCTGCACCTGCAGAATTATTAGTATTTCCCCAAAGCCATTTTTAGTCAAAACAAATTTACACATAAGCCCACTTATGCCACATTGGGTCACTGCACAGAAATATCTATTAATGGTAGTGTTTTGATAACTATCCAGTTAACAAGATGGTATAGTTTCATCTTGTTTCTATTCTGCCCACAAAAATTAGAAATCTTCTTGGAAATAGCCTAAACAATGTTTACTTGCTACTAATGTAAATTTTATTTTGGTATTTTTAACACCCTTCTGAGTATAACATTTCATCAACGATAAACTCAAATTGGAACCTTTCTTTATGTTCAGAATTTTTCTCTTATGCATGTGGTCAACATTAGGTGGCTTTATTTGTGTCACTAAAGTGATATTTATGTCTCACTCATAAGTTCACCAAATTTTAAATACTTCTTCTTAGATATATTTTAGAAAATCTATGTGATCCATTCCTGATAACTTAACAAATACAATCAAAAACGTAATGTAAAATGGTAGACTTAAAGTGATTAATTTCACATTGATAATGTAACAAAAATTTTGTATTCACATTTTGTACTTATGATAAAGCTACTAAGGCTTTCTGGCACAATTTTTAAATTTTGAGCTACTGACCAAAGGAAACACAGCCAGTTCACAGCACTCTACCACCAACCATCCATGCTAGAGGATTGAATATCACTTTATATCATGCACCCACGGCTTAAAGAACATAGAATGTTTTGTCGTATCATACAAATTCAAGCCCAGCTCACCAGCTCTGTAATTCATACTCTACAATGGAGCCATTCTGCTCCCATAACAAAAATTGCAATGTTTTATTTACTTTAGAACAAATGTAATATTCACAACTTACTTTTAATACACTTCTAACATTACAGGTTCAATTGATTTCTTTTCTAATAAATCACACAAAATTTTTATTAATTCTACTTTAACATATGCAAGATTTTAGAAGTTTTACTTTTATGTAAGTGATTTAATAACAATTTTTTTTTACTTTGTTTTATTCTAATAATACAGTGAACCTACCACATTACTCCAGTTTATAAATGTAACAGATCTTCTGACTACATCTCTGTTATAACAACAATAGAAGATCTTTATCATATCCAACCTATCAGACATAGCAAATATTTTAAGTCAGCTCCTTTACTTATTTTTTATTTAACATATAAAATGTCTGTAACTGACCTTGAAACTTAAGGTCATATTTTTAACTTACCTACGATCTAACTGCTGTCGCTGAAGCTCATTTGTAGCGCCTGTTGAAGGCTGTTGGGACCCTGTAGGTCGGTTCCAGGTTGTAGTACGATTTGAATGATCTATATAAAAGATTCTTCCATGGGTGTCAATGCGAGCCTCCCAGTCTGCAAGAAAATAATTAATGGAGTTGACTGAAAAAGAATTCAACATAATAATGGTCTTTAATGTAATTATCTTATTATTCATAGCCATCAATGTTTAATAAAAAAATCTTATTGCAAAGGTAGTGTTGGAGATACAAGACTGTTCACAGCTTATGAGTTATTATTTAGGTTATTTAGTGATTTAATATTTAATGATTATTTAGTTTTCATAAGAAAAGTGTTAAAAGTTAATTACTTTAAAGGTGATAGTTATGACAAATTTCATTATGTAACCCGTTAAGAGTCATATGTTGTGTGTAGTTCAACTGTTGTAAATTGACATCACATTACTCGAACCTTCTGTATTTTTCTAATTGCCTTAAGTGAGTGTTGTTACGTCATAGCATCTTGTACTTTGTAGAAAGTTCTAGGCTTCAGTTGGGAAACATGTGTGTGTGTGTGTGTGTGTGTGTGTGTGTGTGTGTGTGT